TCTATAAACGAAGCTGAAATAGTTGGAACAGTTGATGCTAATGCTGAATTGTCCGCCTTGTTTTGACCACTAGTCTGGTCCCCTGCTTAGTATGCTCCCTGCCATGCACTTCGCTATACTATACTAGGAAGCATACTAAGCAGGGGGCCAGACTATTTGCCTACCAGCTATCGATTGGACATTGTGGTCAGTTGACCACCCGCCACGTGATCAAAATTCCGAGCAAATTACGAAGTTCACCGAAGTCTCCATGAAATGGTCTATAGCGTCAAGACAAAATGAGCGTGGACATTAACAGAAATGAGCTTACTATCAGTACATAGTTCTGTCGGTAGATAACTGACTGAGTGCAGGAGTTTCGCAGAAATTGGTTTCAATAGGTATCATTTCAACCCAGATTCCATTCGCAACCTCTCTCTGGTTTTATCTGTGGACATAATGGTACATTTTTCAAAAGAAATGTCACAGTATTATGTTTCACACTATGTTGTATAATAAATTTTTCCTGAGAATATCACGCCATTTTAATCCTGAAAAATATTTCGCGCATAATTATCTATATACTCTTGAACCTGAAACTATGACACGCAACTGAGTAGGCTTGATAGTTTAAATATATTTATATGCATACATACATACATACATACATACATACATACATACATACATACATACATACATACATACAGACAGACAGACAGACACATACATACATACATACATACATACATACATACATACATACATACATACATACATACATACATACATACATACATACATACATACATACATACATACATACAGACAGACACATACACACATACATACATACATACATACATACATACATACATACATACATACATACATACATACATACATACATACATACATACATACATACATACATACAGACAGACAGACAGACAGACAGACACATACACACATACGTACATACATACATACATACATACATACATACATACATACATACATACATACATACATACATACATACATACATACATACATACGCACGCACGCACGCACGCACGCACACATACATACATACATACATACATACATACATACATACATACATACATACATACATACATACATACACACACACACACATACATACATACATACATACATACATACATACATACATACATACATACATACATACATACATACATACATACAGACAGACAGACAGACAGACAGACAGACACATACACACATACATACATACATACATACATACATACATACATACATACATACATACATACATGCATGCATGCATGCATGCATGCATGCATGCATGCATGCACGCGCGCGCGCGCGCGCGCACGCACGCACGCACGCACACACACACACACACACACACACATACATACATACATACATACATACATACATACATACATACATACATACATACATACATACATACATACATACATACATACATACATACATACATACATACATACATACATACATACATACATAGGCAGATAGACAGAGAGACAAAGAGAGAGGCAGACAGATAGAGACGAAGATTTTCTATTCCGAAGTAAATATCACTCTTTCCTAGGAGTTAAATTGTGATCTGTATTATTCAGACATTGACCTTTTCGAGGGAAATTCTATCCCGTATATGTTTTCTTTGAAAGGCAGAAAGTTTGAATCCTACCAATGAATCAGCCAGGGTTGGCTACGGTGGTGTGTCACTGCGCAAGACACTACTCCAATTGCACTCAGCAACTCAATAGCCTGTTTGTGTTGATGTCTTGTAACGCAACAACTCAACAACCTGTATGTGTTGATGTCTCGTAACACAACAAATAGTCAAGCGTCAACACCCACCAGTAGCCAACCATGAAATACCTCCATAAATAGAAGCAATTTGAATAGAATATTTTAACCAAATGTTTATATGCCTGCCACATGTAATCAGACAGAATAGCAATGAAAGACGAGTTTGTAAAAGTTAACTGATTACCACTCCCTATGTATACCACATTTAAATAGGATGAAAATGGCAAATGCTAGCAATTGGATATACATAGCATATTTAAATAGGACGCAGATGGCAAATGTTACGTGTCGGCTAGTACAAATTTAAGATAAGAAAAGAGTGAAGTCAACAAGCTTTGTAAATTTTAACACAACTAATTTATTTCCCTAGAAAACAAGGTATGAATAGAAAATTGGACTTAAGGTTTGTGAATGTGATGCAAAATTTAATCAAAAGATTGAAAAATATAAGTCCTTTAACTAAACAGTTCTAATTGAATCCAGGTTCGAATCTCGATGAAATTCCAATATGGAGGCGATGACGTCAGATAAGGTCGTTGTACTGTTGTCAACATTGCCTCGTTGAAAAAGAATTTGTAATGTTCTGTTTAGAATTCCATAATAAATTTCACCTGAATATCTTTTGTCCCAGAAATTTTATAAAATAGAAGCACTTGTGTAGTTTTCTAGAGATTGATTTATTAAATTCAAAAATATAGTCGAACTTCAAAACAAGCTGGCATCGACAATCAAGAAAACTCTGAGCTCCTAGTTGTTAGAATACAACTGCTTAGATTTCACTAAGACACTGGTATTAAACCCAAATCAAAACATCATTTCGACACTTGTGTTGGGTCACATGATCACTTAATCAACAAACTTCGCAATAAATCTGTCATTTGCTACGTACGCTAGAATAGCCCTATGTAAGAATCAAATTCTAACACTGGAAATTAAAAGAAAGGCTTGTTTACAATTCTACTAACACGTGGGCCGAAAATGACCTTGGCAATTGCCACTCGTATTCACCCGATGTATACAAGAACTATGAACCAAAGTGAACAAAAATAATCATAATGCAATACCTTTTATGTTTTAATTAGACTGAATGTTTCTTAAAATATCAAATCCAGTGAAAATAAAAAAATTACAATAAAATGTAATGAAACAAACATAACAAAATGAATTTAAAATTAACACACAAGCAATTTAATTACATATTTGTAACACAAATCCTAGTAAATGAGCATGAACAGCATGTTGAAAATGCATTTAATTGACAATGCAGACAATTGTGTATACTCAGCATATTATAATATCATGCCAATAAAAAATGCTAATATTTGTTGATTTGTTGATATTAAAATAGCATTCAAATAGAGCTCAAGGTAAACATCCGTAAAGTGCAAAAGCACTGACTGCGAAAGAAGGAAACATGTAAGTCAGTTTAAACTGTAAATCAATTTGGAAGGAAATTTAAACAAAATACGTCCATCACATACTAATGCATCTGTCTTAAACGATATTACAGAAAATCAAAAAACCTCTCCATTGCGACTTCAGTATGTTTATATATTAATGCATTAATTATGGGCGTGTGCTATATATTCATCTGAAATATTGACTAACTTCCGCCCGGCATGTGACTCATCACTTAGCTTAGTCTTATTATACATTGCATATATATATGAATATTTTATGATATTTTTGAAATTCTGCCCACACAAACGTTTTTCTTCATTCCTATTGCAATCTGATACTTCAACGCTTGAGGACGTAATTGTATGTACTGTTTCAGTTTCAGGTATTCAAAACCAGAAAGTGGTGGGTTAGATAGAGAAATAGAGACAATTTATACTGACGAAGGTAGTTTAGTCTTCACAAAAACTGTTACAAAAACGTATTATTTAATGGATTGCTGACCTAACTGCGTAATAAATCTAGGTCTAAAGATAATCTTAAGGACAATATAATTAATGTGTGTATGTGTGTGTGTGTGAACTTTGAAAAGCCACACACACTCAAGATGACTATTTATTTAAAAGCAAATCAAGATATGGAAAATAAGATGCAGAATCAGCGAAATCTAGCCCAACATTTATTACAGTAATAATGTACATAATGTTGCGAGCCTTTTTTAACAAAAATGTAAAACATTCGTGTCTTAGAAAAAGATTCTAATTTGTAAAAGTAAATAGGCACTTTATCTTTTCGGTCTAATTAATCACAATATCAAAATGCATTGGTGATAAACAAGTATATTGGATAGAGAAACATGCATAAAATGAGCAAGTCTAAATGTACACTGGACTAAGATCTCTCTCTCTCTCTCTCTCTCTCTCTCTCTCTCTCTCTCTCTCTCTCTCTCTCTCTCTCTCTCTCTCTCTCTCTCTCTCTCTCTCTCTCTCTCTCTCTCTCTCTCTCTGTGAGACATACTAAACAATGAATTCTTACTATTATAGTATTCCTCATAAAACTTTAAATAAGTTATACAATTCAAATTAAGAAACAACAGATCAATTATAAACGACAGACTATGAGAAAACTTCATTGTTAAATCAGATCTAACCAATGGGTAAATGAGATTTAGCACAAATTCAACTTCTTAATGGAGATGGAACAAAAGATAAAGAAAAATAGACAATGAAGGGTAATTGGATATGTTCTGATCAATACTTTAGACATGTATTACAAAATGGAATAAATCGTAGTATACGTAAATATTATGAGTTCCATGACAACAAAACAATATGATTATTAGTCCAACAAAATTAAATAATATAATCTATCTGTTATTATGTTTTTTTTAGCAATTCACTGTATATACATGTATTAAAATTTATAAGACATTCTTATATATTGTTTTCTTATTTTAGCAAATAGGAACTTGGAAAAACTCATCGCTCATATCTTGCAAGGTAAATATTTCACATTATCAGATATACTAGTATCCCGATTTTCAGTTTCAAATCTGTAAATCATGGTTCGGAACTTTGTGTATGATGTGTGATTTGATTTTTAACGTAGCTTTCACAAGTTTTCTGTCATGTCGCTACGATGTCTGTAGTGTGGCAGTTTATAGTGATATCTTGCACTGGGGCATCATACCGTAGACATGTAACATGATGTCACACCAAGTCAAATTATCCTGAAACCAGGCTGAAGTCTCCTTTTATAAGTCTTTGGTATGATTTGGCCGGGGATAGAACCCACGACCTCCCGCATCCGAGGCGGATGCTCTAACTACTAAACCACAGGAGCGGTCATGTTAAAATTATTCTATCCTTGTATGGAATACTCATTAAAATGGACTCCTATTGAATCAATTGTTTAATTATCCAAATAATATCTGCTTTCAGACACATCGAAAACACAATAATGCATATATATATATATATATATATATATATATATATATATGTATATATATATATATATATATATATATATATATATATATATATATATATATATATATATGTGTATGAAAATATATATATATATATATATATATATATATATATATATATATATATTTATATTTATATATATATATGTGTGTGTATTTATATATATGTATATAGAGAGATAGACAGACAGACAGACAGACTATATTATAACTTAGACAAATACACAATAAATCATTTAGATTTGATCAATTATAAAGATGGCTTACTTGTACTAAACGAAACAAGTATATTAAATTTTAAAACTTTTATACAATAAAGAGTTTCATATTCTAAAGAGAATGAGAGGTACTTAGTGGAAATAGAGAAACTTCTACTTAGTGTACCCTGCTGTAAAATTCATTCCAAGTATCCAAATTTCAAGTGATCCGAATTTTTTTCATTACCTTAAAATGTGTAGATGAGGATATGCATTGAGGGTTCAAATGTTATTGGTTAATATAAGTGTGCATTTCTTGCCACGTGACTTTCCTCTCAACAGACTTGTTTGTGGTCATTAAAAAACTTTTCAATTTATAGTTTAAGACGTTTTAGCGCTAACCTACGACCTTTTAGCTTTTGTGTTCGAACGTTCAACGTTAAGGCTAAGGTACACGACGTTACAAACTTGTATTGATTTCAAATAGTTCATATCTCAACGTTTCGCAGATAAGACAATAGTCTATATAAGAATCACCGTAAGACACATCACAGCACTGTTTTCCAACTTTATAATTTTCACGGTATGAAGACGTCACAATCATATACTTATTTGTCTTGTAGAGAATCGATGAAACGATATTTTTACGGTATGAAGACGTCACGATTTTATACTTATTTGTCTTGTAGAGAATCGATGAAACGATAGTCGATCTTTATACTTCACCTGGCCCAGTTTTGTTTTCGCATAATCTGGGCAGTTTTTACTCGTTGGCAAGGGCAACAAAATCAGTGCAGCCTCTTCTATTTTCTGCTGATATGTTAAAAAAAATGGCGAGAGAACTTTGGTGTGGAGTTTCTGGGTAATACGTCTTATTTTATTGATTTTGAAGAAATAGGAAGTTAGTGGCTTTCCCAAAGGCACATCAAGGGAACCAAGCTATCCAGGGCATGTATCGAAACAGTGATCCACGAAGCCGACGCTTACCAGCTGAGCTACCACGACACCCAAACAGAATGGAATATAGTCATGGAATACCCTCGTGTTTCTTCCACCATGCTTTGCACCAGTCTGTCTCTTCGTACCTGAAAGTGCCTTCAATGTGATTAACTTTGGTCCTATAAAACTTACTTGTATATGAATTCGTAAAATTACCTACAATTTCACAACTCTCCTCGGAAACCACTCCATCGTTCCTGGAATCCAAATCTGCAAAGGCCTGGGCGAACATCATGGCTGAGCTTTGGAGCCAATTTTTACCCATTCCCCACGGTGAATATCCACACACAGCACCAGTAACATACATCTTTCCCACTTGAATCAAGTCCTGGAAGGAAACGTTAAGAGAGGAAATGTGTTTTGGAGATAGCGACTGGAATGCTGGAACTGGATTCCCATCCTCTGTACAATAACGGACCTCTTTCAGAACTTGAACTAGATACTCAGAAGCAATGTAGCCTCTTGTTGACCTATTCATCTTGCACAGTTCATTCAGTTTGTCTGCGAATTTCGTTCCCTTCCACGGTGCTTGTATTGCATACCATTCCGAAGATTTAGCATCAAATGAGCAAATATTCTTGAATAAAGCGGCAGCCATTACAAGATTGCCCATCGAATGGGCAAATATTACTGTGTCTTTGATGACTTTGGAATGCCCTGAAACATCCCTACATAATTTTTTATGGAGTTTTACACTGTCCCATCCATTGTTAAGAGTGTCCAACTTTATAAAGCGGTGATCACTACATTGTGGTGTAAATGCTCTCACGTTAGACCAATACAGCCTTCCTATGTCCTCACTTGAAGAATCTGAATCAACCCCAATGCCGTGAACGAAGACGCAAGACTTCCAAGAACGACGCCAATGAACGGACATGTCCATATATTGATTCAAACCAGACTCTACTGATGTAACTGTTTCTGTGGACGCAAAATGACATGATATATTATGTTTAGGAAGAAAATTACCATGTGAGGTATTTAAGCTAAATGAAGCGGCATGTGCAATCAGCATATCGTCGTGAATAGAAGTTATAATGCCGTGGGCTTCACATATAAAGATCTCTCTGTGACACTCGTAAACTGACCACAAAGTTCCCGGACATTTTAATCCTGGTTTATATTGATCAGTTCGAGTAGCGTTAACAATCAGGCGGAGCATACTATAAAATCCCAAATTTTCAACGTGGTTAAAACAAGACCACGTGGTTTTGTTGTCATTTGTAAGTTGGAGTATCGCTTGATTATCTGTTACTGTCAGTACTTCCTCTTCATGAGAGCTTTGTCGCCTTTTCTCCTTGTATCTAAAGCCGCACTTCACTTTTCGTTCCCATTCAATATTAGTGGTAATATTTTCTTTTGTATTGTTGGAAATATTTTCATTTGAATAATGGAACATTTTGAATTCAACTACAAACGAGTCGGGAAGTACGTCTCCAAGACGGACCACTTTTGAATGGTATCGACTGCTTTCGCTTGATGTTCGTAAACGCACGCTCAAGGAAACAATTATGGTGGTGGCCATGATGGAAACAAAAAACAATACTATCACCACCAAAACTTTCCTCCCGTTGCCTTTTCTTATTCTCTGGCTTACTCTTGAGAAAGATCGGGAAAACGATGGACGGGAACCTCCTCTCCCTCGGATGCGCATGTCACCTCTGTCTTGCGCCATTACTTGCTTCACACGATGGTAGTTAAAAAATCATAAACCTTAAATGGCTGATTAAGGATGATCACATTCACTTGTACATATCAAGGCACGTTAGTCATAATGTGGATAACAGGTACAGCACACCCTATTCAACTGAGCGTGTTTTGCCAATGTGCAAATCAACTGAACGTGTTTTGTTAATGTGCAAAATCAGGCGTATATACTATCTGCATAATAGTGAATATAATTTTCTACAAGCATACTTTCAATCGATGCACATGTGTTTGTTCCAGATTTCGTACAAACATATCACACGCATTTGATATGAAGAAAATAGCATGTTATATGAGGTTCCGTAGTGATACATACGCATACTTGAACTGTAATCTTTGGCATATAGGATTATACTCAAAAAATTTAAAAACTTACGTGAACACTCAAATTATATTTCAGAATACACAAATAAAATTACACCTGTTACGTGCTGGTTTGTTTATCTTTATCTATAGGATGATATACCACGTTGTTATCGCCCATAATGAGCAAATAATAAAATATGAAATTTAGGAATGGAATAATTTGAGATCTAAGTAGAGACATACAGTAGAACAAAAAAGCCGCATTCAAAATATAAAGATCTAATAAATTATATAAACAAAATGAAATTGAACATGACATGGGAAATAATTAATAAGTTTATATAAATACGTAATTAGACGTTCTGTTGATACCGATACGGAAAAATTTAATCGTTCAAGCTCAGTTGCCTAGTATGACTGCACAACGTGGTTGTTTGCCAATCCTTCCAAATTCAACGTTGGTGACAGCTCTCTCTCTCTCTCTCTCTCTCTCTCTCTCTCTCTCTCTCTCTCTCTCTCTCTCTCTCTCTCTCTCTCTCTCTCTCTCTCTCTCTCTCTCTCTCTCTCTCTCTCTCTCCTCCCCACTGGATGGGTGCACATGTAGAGCTATTTCCTTTATAAAGAAAATAATAGATTGGCTTAATATTTATCAGGGTTTTTTTTCTTGAGGGTTCGAGTCGAACACGATTCCCTCTGTTGTTACGTCAGATATTGTCATTTCGACATTCAACAGAAACTAAAGCTAATATATGGGTCGGTTCGCCACCTGACACCTGATACACATATTCTAGTACAATATGATTATTGCTCTCTCTCTCTCTCTCTCTCTCTCTCTCTCTCTCTCTCTCTCTCTCTCTCTCTCTCTCTCTCTCTCTCTCTCTCTCTCTCTCTCTCTCTCTCTCTCTCTCTCTCTCTCTCTCATCCTTAACTGAGCTAGCATAATCTAGACACAATATACCGTACGCCCAGCTGTTAACTATAAATCACACTGGCTTAATTTGTCGGCCGGCCACTCAATTTCTAAGCTAAAAGAATTCACATCTAATTATACAAATGAAATAAAGACATTCATTTCATATCTTGACTACAATATGTGCTAACTAATAATTTGTTGGCATAACATTTCTAGACATGGTAATATAAAAAAAATTCTCATTACATATAAACGAATAACTTCAGACAAACAGTTCTCCCAAGATTCTTATCAGGAAATAATGCATGAAATTCTCACAATTAATGATTCTTGTAACATTCAAGGCAAATGAATGGAAATAATTAACTTACGAACTCATGGAAGGAAAATTGCTGTATGAATTTTAAACACATAATTAGGCACTCTTATCAATGAACACGTTGTATGAGATCGATACAAATACTTTGTTCTTTACGAGACTCGCTTCTACGTAATCAGGATAATCTGTGTACCTTTAACGTTAAATATCCCTCATAATTCCAGACATCCGTCCTTTGGACAATTTATAAGGAGAGAACAATTCTTACTCCCCCGAAGCTAAGACGGTGTTGCCTCCCCACAGACACTTTGAAATTCGTCTTGGAAACGCATACTCCTTATTTTGTTTCAGAATTTAATTTATCTAACTGCTGCTGTTAATAAATGCCCATCGAAGTTAAATAAT